GAGGAAGCAGTGAGTTCAGTACTACTGAGGGAAGAAAACAAACATCAGAAGCCTATCTGCTACGTGAGTAAGGTGTTACAAGGTGCCGAGCAGAACTACCCACTAGCACAAAAAGCTGCTTTTGCCTTGGTTTCCACAGCTCGTAAGTTGAGAGCCTACTTCCAATCACACCAGATTGTTGTGTATACTGATTTCCCGCTAAGGAAAATACTACAGAAGCCAGAGCTCTCTGGTCGGCTCATCGGATGGAGTGTCGAGCTGAGCGAATATGACCTTGAGTTTCAGCCGCGCACGACTATAAAAGGCCAAGCTGTGGCAGACTTCCTAGTTGAATGTGCCCCGACGGCTGTGAAAGAAAAGGCACCTGAACACCCACTTTGGGTTTTGTATGTGGATGGAGCTACTAATGTCGAAGGATCTGGTGCTGGAGCTGTATTACTAAGCCCTGATGGTTTCAGGTCTGAGCATGCGCTGAGGTTTAAGTTTCAGACGACCAATAATGCTGCAGAATATGAGGCCCTCATATATGGATTGAAGCTGGCGGCCGAGCTGAAGGTACAAAGCATTCAGGTCTTTAGCGACTCTCAGCTCGTCGTCCTCCAGGTGAATGGCAGTTGCGACATAAGGGATCCTCAGCTCGGTCGCTATGCTTCTGTGGTCAACAGATTGAAGTCCAGGTTCGCTTCATTTCAAATTGACAAAATACCGCGAGCAGATAACCAGCGAGCTGACGAGCTGTCAAAGTTGGCTTCTTCGCAGGACATTAACCCTCAAAGATCGACAATCGTCGAGGTGCTTGACGCACCAAGCTACACTGATTTCACAGTCGAGTGCCAATTATTAAGTACAGACCCCTCTACACCGACCTGGACCACCCCGCTTATGAATTATCTACAAAGTGGCGAGCTACCCCAAGACCAGTCCGCCGCAAAGGTGATTAAACGCAGGGCGGCACATTTCACTGTGTTAGATAACCAGCTTTACAAGCGAGCAGCCTCAATGCCCCTATTACGCTGCCTTACTCCTTACGAGGCTGAATACGCCGTGAGAGAAGTTCACGAGGGAGTATGTGGCACGCACATCGGTGGCAGAACTTTGGCTCGGAAATTGCTGAGGCATGGTTATTACTGGCCCACTATGGTCGAAGACGCGCAGGGCTATGTCAAAAAGTGCCCGACCTGCCAATTCAATGCTGATGATATCCACATGCCAGGTATCCGAGCTCGTTCTACAGTTTATTCTAACCTAGTAACTGCCTATGAACTGAGCATAAGTACCTCTCTTCGAACAGGGGAAATGCTATCATCTCTTACGTCTCCCTGGCCTTTTGCTCAATGGGGCGTCGACCTGCTCGGTCCATTCGTCAAAGGCAAAGGAGGCTGCATTTTCCTGGTCGTTGCGGTGGATTACTTCACCAAGTGGATAGAGGCTAAACCATTATCCACGACAACAGAAAGGAAAATCGAAGAATTCTTGTTCAATTCCATATTGTGCAGGTATTCTTTAGTAACTTAGATCACAAATAAAATACAGGCAAACACAGTCATTGCTCAGCTGTTCGTCTATCTGTGTGCAGGTTCGGCATACCTAAGCGAATTATCGCTGACAATGGGCCACAGTTCCGAGCAGCAGCGCTGAGATCATTTTGTGACGACTATGGCATTGAGCTCGCATTGACATCCGTATATACTCCACAGTCCAACGGGCAAGCTGAGTCCGCCAATAAAATCGTCTTGCGAGGCCTCAAGACACGCGTTTTGGCTACGCATTCTAATTGGGTTGACGAGCTCAACAAAGTACTTTGGTCTTGTCGCACCACACCAAGCTCGGCCACGGGCGAAACCCCTTTCAGCCTGGCCTATGGAGCTGAAGCCGTCATCCCAGTAGAGGTTGGATTGCCATCCGATCGAGCAGGCTGGCATGACGATCTCAACAATGAGCAACTTTTGAGAGAAAACCTGGACTTCATAGAAGAGGTCAGGGAAATGTCCAGGATAAGAAACGTGGCACATCAAAATCGCGTTGCAAAATTTTATAATAAAAGGGTTCGAGCTCGCCAGTTTCAAGTTGGCGATCTGGTTCTACGCAAGGCTGGGTTAACTAACACTCATTCACACATGGGTAAGCTCGCTCCTAATTGGGAAGGTCCCTATATGGTGGTTCGGGTTAAGCGACCTGGCTCTTACGTGTTAGCAGATATACACGGGCATCAGTTACCTTACCTTTGGAATGTACAGAATCTTAGGAAGTTTTACAGTTAATGTGTATTATGTTGTTTCGCTTGAGTTACTATCGATCAGTTGTAAACAAACGATATACTGACAATACAACACAAATTCAAAGAAAAATTCACTTTGTATTTCATCAAGGGCATTTACATTGAAGACGCGTGCTATGAATTCATTGATCAAATACAAAATGCAAAAACAAGCTACAAAAAAGTCAAAAGAAAAAACCCCTAAACCTAGTCATCCGTCAGATCGACGGGCATAGACGCATCAGCAACAGCAGCAGCAACAGGAGAGCGA